GTCTAACTTTGTCCAAAGACTGGCAGGAAAGTTGACATCTTATTGTCTAACTTTGTCCAAAGACTGGCAGGAAAGTTGACATCTTATTGTCTAACTTTGTCCATAGACTGGCAGGAAAGTTGACATCTTATTGTCTAACTTTGTCCATAGACTGGCAGGAAAGTTGATATCTTATTGTCTAACTTTGTCCATAGACTGACAGGAAAGTTGACATTTTATTGTCTAACTTTGTCCATAGACTGGCAGGAAAGTTGACATCTTATTGTCTAACTTTGTCCATAGACTGGCAGGAAAGTTGACATCTTATTGTCTAACTTTGTCCATAGACTGGCAGGAAAATTGACATCTTATTGTCTAACTTTGTCCAAAGACTGGCAGGAAAGTTGACATCTTATTGTCTAACTTTGTCCAAAGACTGGCAGGAAAGTTGACATCTTATTGTCTAACTTTGTCCATAGACTGGCAGGAAAGTTGACATCTTATTGTCTAACTTTGTCCATAGACTGGCAGGAAAGTTGATATCTTATTGTCTAACTTTGTCCATAGACTGACAGGAAAGTTGACATTTTATTGTCTAACTTTGTCCATAGACTGGCAGGAAAGTTGACATCTTATTGTCTAACAAACGACATACCATGTCTACAGATGGAGGCACATCGTCCGACAACTCACCAACCTGTCTCAAGTCCCCTCGCCAAGCTCTCGTCTAGCGCCGATAACCGGATGCTATCATCTGGCCACTTGTCTCGGATAACAAAGCAAAGAACGTCCGTACGGCGGTATACCTTGACGTCCGTACGGCGGTATACCTTGACGGAACGGTGCACGGATGAGTCAGGTCAGGTTGTGGCTTAGCCAAATGGATCAGGATTCGTGTTACAGTTGGTTCATGTGGTCGGTTGGACGGTGGGGGGAGGGGGGGGGGGGTCGGTTGGACGGTGGGGGAGGGGACGGTTGGACGGTGGGGGGAGGGGACGGTTGGACGGTGGGGGAGGGGTCGGTTGGGGAGGGGACGGTTGGACGGTGGGGGAGGGGACGGTTGGACGGTGGGGGAGGGGTCGGTTGGACGGTGGGGGAGGGGTCGGTTGGGCGGTGATGGGCCCTGTAGTTTTTTTTCCCCATGGATTATCTTGCGGTTATGAGAAAATTACTTGATTCATTTGTGAAACGAGTAGTTTGTGTTTGGTGGTGTGTGGGGTTATAGGATTGGTTTGTGTGGGTTATTTGTGGGGTGTTGTGTGTGGGGTTAAAGCATTGGCTTGTGTGGGTTATTTGTGTGCGTGGGGTGGGGGAGTAATGTTTTTGTATTGTCAGGGGCGGTTGGAGAATCAGAACTGTCTGATAAAGTTGAAACAATAAAGTCCAACCTTTAACCTTCCGAGGGATGGGTTGAGGACATTTGTAAAGTTCAGTCTATGAACCGGAAGTTGATACGACGCCATTCAACTACGTCATTACTGTCTGACAAGACAAATTGGTGTAATTAAAACAACGAGGGTTGCGGTAATTAGTTCTAATTTGATTGTTTAGAGCCGTAAATGATCAGCCAGAATAGCTTCTCTCTCCCGATACACAGGCAGGCTGCTAGGAGAGACAACCTGCGCTGGAGTCATCTCCCCTTTTTTGTACACGCTTCGCTGGGTTTGAATGACCGTCACGCGCGACTGAACATGTAACCTTCAGAACTTGACAGATATCAGCTTTCTAATAACATCCTTTCAAAATATTTCATCCTACTCATTTTGTTAACGGACAAAACGGGTGGGGCAGGTGACATTATTGTGGCGGGAAAACTTTAAAACATCTACCCCCCCCCCCCCCCCCCCCTCACCCAACGGATCATTTGCTCATATTAAATCAATGCTAAAATTATTTTTTTTAAACTGCCAGCACGAAACGACAGACGCCATTCGCCGTTAAGACAGCCATGACGTCATAGAAGACCGAATCGATGACGTCACTGAACGAGACCAAGACTACTGACACGATTGTATGGCTCTGACTGTGGTTGTCGTCAACACAAGGCTGGTGTCTGCCGTCCGTTGATTGGGATGTGTCGTCAACACAAGGCTGATGTCTGCCGTCCGTTGATTGGGATGTGGCGTCAACACAAGGCTGGTGTCTGCCGTCCGTTGATTGGGATGTGGCGTCAACACAAGGCTGGTGTCTGCCGTCCGTTGATTGGGATGTGTCGTCAACACAAGGCTGGTGTCTGCCGTCCGTTGATTGGGATGTGGCGTCAACACAAGGCTGGTGTCTGCCGTCCGTTGATTGGGATGTGGCGTCAACACAAGGCTGGTGTCTGCCGTCCGTTGATTGGGATGTGGCGTCAACACAAGGCTGGTGTCTGCCGTCCGTTGATTGGGATGTGGCACGCCATCACGTGGTAGTCAATGACGACATCAGCAAGAAATTATTTGTCTTACTGGCTGATCTAGAACTCGTGTAATACGTCATCGTTATCTGTGTAATACGTCATCGTTATCTGTGCGACACACACTGACGTATCTCGTTCTGGCCAAGTGACGAATGTTTTAGACCGAGTGGACTCAGTGGTCAGTTGGTGGGGCTGTCCAGCTCGGTGGTCAGTCCAAGGGTCAAGGGTGAGAGAAATCAGTAGCCTTTTTAAGCTACACGACTACCTGGCCGTTCGGATGAGCTTTAAAGAGATATATGGGTTGTTGGCTCATGTGGGTTGTTGGCTCATGTGGGTTGTTGGCTCATGTGGGTTGTTGGCTCATGTGGGTTGTTGGCTCATAGGGGTTGTAGATACAATACCAGGGTACGATACTCATACACGATACTTAGATTCAATACCAGGGTACGATACTCATACACAATACCTAGATACAATACCAGGGCACGATACTCATACACGATACCAAGATACAATACCTGGGCACGATACTCACGATACCAGGGTACGATACTCATACACTATACCAAGATACAATACCAGGGTACGATACTCATACACGATACCTAAATACAATACCAGGGTACGATACTCATACACTATACCAAGATACAATACCAGGGTACGATACTCATACACTATACCAAGATACAATACCAGGGCACGATACTCATACACGATACCAAGATACAATACCTGGGCACGATACTCACGATACCAGGGTACGATACTCATACACTATACCAAGATACAATACCAGGGTACGATACTCATACACGATACCTAAATACAATACCAGGGTACGATACTCATACACTATACCAAGATACAATACCAGGGTACGATACTCATACACTATACCAAGATACAATACCAGGGCACGATACTCATACACGATACCAAGATACAATACCTGGGCACGATACTCACGATACCAGGGTACGATACTCATACACTATACCAAGATACAATACCAGGGTACGATACTCAGGGTCCGTTTAATCCGAGTACCCCGTCCCTAATGCCAACCGTGTGTTGAGTGACACCTGTGTGTTGAGTGACACCTGTGTGTTGAGTGACACCTGTGAAATACCTGAGCCCTTTAAACGGTGCACAGACACGCGCCATAACCGTCGCTGGGTGGGGGGGGGGGGGGGTGATCAATACCTAGCGTCCACTACCGGCTAGACTAGCCATTAAGTTGGTCCCCCCCCCCATCCCCCCACCCCCATGTTCTAGCTAGACACGACTAGTTCTGGTCAAAACGGTTAGAATCAGCTAGTAGGTCAGCACTGGCCAGTTGGTAGGTCAGCGTTGGTAGGTCAGCACTGGCCAGTTGGTAGGTCAGCGTTGGTAGGTCAGCACTGGCCAGTTGGTAGGTCAGCACTGGCCAGTTGGTAGGTCAGCACTGGCCAGTTGGTAGGTCAGCGTTGGTAGGTCAGCACTGGCCAGTTGGTAGGTCAGCACTGGCCAGTTGGTAGGTCAGCGTTGGTAGGTCAGCACTGGCCAGTTGGTAGGTCAGCACTGGCCAGTTGGTAGGTCAGCACTGGCCAGTTGGTAGGTCAGCGTTGGTAGGTCAGCACTGGCCAGTTGGTAGGTCAGCACTGGCCAGTTGGTAGGTCAGCGTTGGTAGGTCAGCACTGGCCAGTTAATAGCGATGGACAAACATTCTGGCCACGCAGGGGCACTTTAAATGGCCAATCAAAATGTAGTTTAACTGGCCAATAAAAATGTAGTTTAACTGGCCAATCAAAATGTAGTTTAACTGGCCAATAAAAATGTAGTTTAACTGGCCAATCAAAATGTAGTTTAACTGGCCAATCAAAATGTAGTTTAACTGGCCAATAAAAATGTAGTTTAACTGGCCAATCAAAATGTAGTCAAACTGATATGTCAAATGGTAATTTAACTCGGTTCTAAAGTTTCTAAGGGCTACCAAAAGGCAATTTATTTAGTATATCAAATGCCACATATGACCTGGTAATAACTGATATAGTACATCATAGGACACAACTGACCTGGCCACAATTGATCTGGCCACAATTGACCCGTCCCATCAAAGCCAGCCCATTCCGCTGGTTATCTCCCTTGCAAGTCAATGAAATCCCATCCCACAATGCCAGGTAATGAGAGAACTAATACAAGCTAAATTTGATTTCTACCATTACAAAGGGCCAAGCTGGCACGTATATCAGACAGTAGTGGCCAGTGCATTGTTCGCACCGGTACGATGGGTAATTGAATGGGCCATATGTCGGCCATGATAATTAAAAAGCACATATCGATACTGTAATTATATATCGATACCGTAATTACATTAGGCCGTGAGTGAGCACGCGCTATGTGATTTACATTTGATGTGTGAGGGTGTGGGGAGGGTGTGGTTAGGGGGGGGTGCGGTGTCCCCTGGTTTAGTGTGTCTGGTGATGTCTCGAACTCAGGGAGGGGCCAAGTGGACCAGCTAGACACGTGGACCAGCTGGTCACATGGACCAGCTAGACACATGGACCAGCTGGACACATGGACCAGCTGGACACGTGGACCAGCTGGTCACATGGACCAGCTGGACACATGGACCAGCTGGTCACATGGACCAGCTGGTCACATGGACCAGCTGGACACATGGACCAGCTGGACACATGGACCAGCTGGACACGTGGACCAGCTGGACACATGGACCAGCTGGACACGTGGACCAGCTGGACACATGGACCAGCAGGACACATGGACCAGCTGGACACATGGACCAGCTGGACACATGGACCAGCTGGACACGTGGACCAGCTGGACACATGGACACATGGACCAGCTGGACACGTGGACCAGCTGGACACATGGACCAGCTGGTCACATGGACCAGCTGGACACATGGACCAGCTGGACACGTGGACCAGCTGGACACATGGACCAGCTGGACACGTGGACCAGCTGGACACATGGACCAGCTGGACACATGGACCAGCTGGACACATGGACCAGCTGGACACATGGACCAGCTGGACACATGGACCAGCTGGACACATGGACCAGCTGGACACATGGACCAGCTGGACACGTGGACCAGCTGAACACGTGGACACATGGACCAGCTGGACACATGGACCAGCTGGACACGTGGACCAGCTGAACACGTGGACACATGGACCAGCTGGACACATGGACCAGCTGGACACATGGACCAGCTGGACACATGGACCAGCTGGACACATGGACCAGCTGGACACGTGGACCAGCTGGACACATGGACCAGCAGGACACATGGACCAGCTGGACACATGGACCAGCTGGACACATGGACCAGCTGGACACATGGACCAGCTGGACACATGGACCAGCTGGACACATGGACCAGCTGGACACGTGGACCAGCTGAACACGTGGACACATGGACCAGCTGGACACATGGACCAGCTGGACACATGGACCAGCTGGACACATGGACCAGCTGGACACATGGACCAGCTGGACACATGGACCAGCTGGACACATGGACCAGCTGGACACATGGACCAGCTGGACACATGGACCAGCTGGACACATGGACCAGCTGGACACATGGACCAGCTGGACATATGGACCAGATGGACACATGGACCAGCTGGACACATGGACCAGCTGGACACATGGACCAGCTGGACAAGCTGGACACATGGACCAGCTGGACACGTGGACCAGCTGACACATGGACACATGGACCAGCTAGACACATGGACCAGCTGGACACATGGACCAGCTGGTCACATGGACCAGCTGGTCACATGGACCAGCTGGACACATGGACCAGCTGGACACGTGGACCAGCTGGACACGTGGACCAGCTGGACACATGGACCAGCTAGACACATGGACCAGCTGGACACATGGACCAGCTGGACACGTGGACCAGCTGGACACGTGGACCAGATGGACACATGGACCAGCTGGACACATAGACCAGCTGGACACATGGACCAGCTGGACACATGGACCAGCTGGACACATGGACCAGCTGGACACATGGACCAGCTGGACACGTGGACCAGATGGACACATGGACCAGCTGGACACATGGACCAGCTGGACACGTGGACCAGCTGGACACATGGACCAGCTGGACACATGGACCAGCTGGACACATGGACCAGCTAGACACATGGACCAGCTAGACACATGGACACATGGACCAGCTGGATACATGGACCAGCTGGACACATGATACCTGGACAAGCCGCCGTTTTCTGACACCGGACGGGCGGAACACGTGCGGCATGAGGTGGGCAGAAGGTGAGTCCAGGAAACGTGTCTAGTTACACCTGCACATCTGTGGGATCGATGACCCTCTAATGGTGGAACTGGAGCCCTCGTCTTTTAGGGAGTCTCAGTTTAAATGGCATTTAACGGTCTCGTTTTGTAGTCCACATACAGTACCACATACAGTACCACATACAGTACCATATACAGTACCACATACAGTACCACATACAGTACCACATACAGTACCACATACAGTACCACATACAGCAGAGGCGTAGCGACCCTTCCCGGCGCCCGGGGATATACTTTCAATTTGGCGCCCCCTTGGGATTTTCGATTTGCACCCCCCCCCCTCGAACTTTTCATTTGCACCCCCACCCCCCCTCAAACTTTCGATTTGCACCCCCCTCAAACTTTTCATTTGCACCCCCCCTCAAACTTTCAATTTGGCGCCCCCCCCCCTTAGGTCGGCGCCCGGGGACATATGTCCCCCCGCCCCCCCCCCCTCGCTACGCTACTGACATACAGTACCACACACGATCTCATAGCTGACGGTTTCACTACATTGGCGTAAGCCTGGCTTAAAAGACACTTTATAACCCCTTTAAACAATTTGATACGTTTTATAAAACATAATGTTTAATAAACCGGGAGTGATCGCCCCTAAACTTTCTCGAATATTCTTGTATAACTTGGAATATAGGGCCTAGACATGATTTTTAATTACTTAAACTTTTAAAAATAGAATAGAATCTCATAGAAAAAAGAATTGCGCACCAAGCGAACGGCAAAACAAAATGTGCATAATAGTGCGCAATATTGTTAGTACTTTATAAATTTACATGCGTTTTTGAGAAATCGGAAATAGCGTAAATTAGTACTTCCAGTCAACGGAAATTACTCAAAATTTGACAGAAGGTAGAGAGTTAGATCTTTTACTTACATGTGAAATTTCAGTTATCTATCTGAAATAGTACTCAAGTTATAGGCTTTTGAAAAATTCAAAGTAGAAAAAGTACCACTTCCGGTTATCGGAAATCGCTCAAAAGTTGATCAGGATCTACGATTTTGATAAAATACTTATATATGAAATTTCATCAACCTAGCTGTAACGGTACTCAAGTTATCGTGTTTACACACAGACAGACACACACACACAGACATACGGACAAGATTGCAAAATTATGTTTTTCCGTATCAGTTTGGTGTAAAACGTCGAGATTTGTAAAAATCTCGATTTTTTTTTTGCACGATTACAAGACTTTCTCTATACTTCGTATATACGAAGACGATAGTGATACTAGACATTTACACAACCTAGGATCAAATTTCACTCTAGTTCTACAACCTCTTCTACCCCCCCCCCCCCCGCCCCCCCAAAGAGCCTCACGGCGCCCTCCCAATTACGGCACCATTCACGACGGAATTATGGGTAGGAAATCCTCCATTATTGGGGTCTGTTGACCTAAAAACTTGGATCTCCAGTCATCTGACCCAGTTTGCTGGCACCACGAGTCAGACAGTGTAAGCCGAGGATTGGACGAGTGCCGGCCATTTTTTCATTAGGGACATTACATTCAAAACTCGGGACCAGTTTAATCATTAAGAGATACAAGCAGACTGGTGGAGTGGGTGGAGGGATAATTCCATTGGGTAGAAATACTGAAGTAAGCCGAGTCTTGTAAATATATCCTCAACATTTATAAAGAGCTGTTTGCTATTGGGCAATTGTTTTTTCTGACCTAAATGTCATTTAACACAAGCAGGGAGGTCAGCCAACAGATTCCAAGTTGTCTTAACTTGCTCAGGTACCCGTCAGAGCTGAGTGGACTCAGGTACCCGTCAGAGCTGAGTGGACTCAGGTACCCGTCAGAGCTGAGTGGACTCAGGTACCCGTCAGAGCTGGGTGGACTCAGGTACCCGTCAGAGCTGAGTGGACTCAGGTACCCGTCAGAGCTGGGTGGACTCAGGTACCCGTCAGAGCTGGGTGGACTCAGGTACCCGTCAGAACTGAGTGGACTCAGGTACCCATCAGAGCTGGATGAACTCAGGTACCCGTCAGAGCTGGGTGGACTAGAGTCAGGTACCCATCAGAGCTGGGTGGACTAGAGTCAGGTACCCATCAGAGCTGGGTGGACTAGAGTCAGGTACCCATCAGAGCTGGGTGGACTAGAGTCCGGTACCCGTCAGAGCTGGGTGGACTAGAGTCAGATACCCATCAGAGCTGGGTGGACCAGAGTCAGATACCCATCAGAGCTGGGTGGACTAGAGTCAGGCACCCATCAGAGCTGGGTGGACTAGAGTCAGGTACCCATCAGAGCTGGGTGGACTCAGTGAGTCAGGTACCATCAGAGCTGGGTGAACTAGAGTCAGATACCCATCAGAGCTGGGTGGACTAGAGTCAGGCACCCATCAGAGCTGGGTGGACCAGAGTCAGGTACCCATCAGAGCTGGGTGGACTAGAGTCAGGTACCCATCAGAGCTGGGTGGACCAGAGTCAGGTACCCATCAGAGCTGGGTGGACTAGAGTCAGGTACCCATCAGAGCTGGGTGGACTCAGGTACCCATCAGAGCTGGGTGGACTAGAGTCAGGTACCCATCAGAGCTGGGTGGACTCAGGTACCCATCAGAGCTGGGTGGACTAGAGTCAGGTACCCGTCAGAGCTGGGTGGACTAGAGTCAGATACCCATCAGAGCTGGGTGGACTAGAGTCAGGTACCCATCAGAGCTGGGTGGACTAGTCAGGTACCCATCAGAGCTGGGTGGACTCAGGTACCATACCTTTAACGAATCACATCATCATAACAAGTACTGGTAAAAAAATGCAACAAACCTGAATTGGCTCTAGCAGACACGATGACGTCATTTAATCAAAATGGTTCTCGAAAACTGTGGCTATGTGACGTCATTTGACTCGACAGGCAGTAAAATATACCTGGAGAATTTCAAGATGGTATGTTTGCTCAATGTGGTTGGTCAATGTGGTTGGTCAATGTGGTTGGTCAATGTGTTTGGTCAATGTGGTTGGTCAATGTGGTTGGTCAATGATTTTAAAAAGTGTCTAAGACTGTATCAATGTGGTTACAAAATTTCATATATAAGTATTATATCAAAATCGTAGATCCGTATCAACTTTAAAGCGATTTCTGATAACCGGAAGTGGAACTTTTTCTACTTTCAATTTTTCAAAAGCCTATATAAAGATAGATAATGAAATTACAAATATAAGTAAAAGATCTAATTCTCTGCCTTCTATCAAATTTAGAGTATTTTTCGTTGACCGGAAGTAGTAATTTACGCTATTTCCGATTTCTCAAAAAACGCATGTGAATTTATAAAGTACTAATACTATTCCGCACTATTATAATTATGCACATTTTATTTGCCGTTCACTTGGTGTGCAATTCTTTTTTCTACGAGATTTTATTCTACTTTAAAAAGTTTAAGTATTTAAAATGGATTTGAAATATTGTCTATATCCCGAGTTGCCATCCCATGTTGATTCATATAAGAATATTCGAGAAAGTTTAGGGGAGATCACTCCCGGTTTATTTTATTAAACAAAAGCTAAACATAACCATGACCATTAATTTTAACTATAACAATGAGCTTTAACCTTAACCCATGCAATTTATTGATGTTGCTTGTGTGTTTTTATGTTGCTCATATTTACAATCTAAACACAGACACGAGTTAGTCAAGTCAATGTGTGAGAAGCTTTAGAACATCAAGGTATCTTTTTATATTTCTCCTCAAATTTTCTTTTTTAGTATAAAATCAATATTTCAATGTGATATAAATATGCTGATATATAATGTATAACAAATCGAACACAACCAAGATGAGTTACGGAGTTAAATTTACTTGAGTTATTTAGCTTCGAAAGAAATCTGTTGTCTAGGTTAGTTCTGTATCCTTAAAACACGACCTACACAACTGTCATTGGATTAGCTGCAAGTTCCTATATGATGTATCCTACAAACATTATCCTACAAACATTATCCTACAAACATTATCCTACAAACATCCTACAAACATTATCCTACAAACAACCCGGCCATATCGCACAGTTCCTATACGACGTAGCCTACAAACATTATCCGGCCATACAAACATTATCCTACAAACATTATCCTACAAACATTATCCGGCCATACAAACATTATCCTAAAAACATCCGGCCAAATAGTTCGTGTGTTTATTAGCAACACAACTCTCTTAAACTGAGACTTGATTTGATATTCTTATACCCAAAACTAATACCGAAGTTAAATCATGGACCCATGCTTTTAGTTATTTAAATTGTAGTGGATCATTATGTTTATAAAATTATTTATTGAACGTATTTTGACACTACTGCAAAACGATCTAAATATAAATATGATGTAGAAATTTGAACTGATCAGCACAACCCTCGGTACAACAACCGTTCCCACAACATTCGGTACAACAACCGTTCCCACAACATTCGGTACAACAACCGTTCCCACAACATTCGGTACAACAACCGTACCCACAACATTCGGTACAACAACCGTTCGCACAACATCCGGTACAACAACCGTTCCCACAACATTCGGTACAACAACCGTTCCCATAACATTCGGTACAACAACCGTTCACACAACATTCGGTACAACAACCGTTCACACAACATTCGGTACAACAACCGTTCACACAACATTCGGTACAACAACCGTTCACACAACATTCGGTACAACAACCGTTCACACAACATTCGGTACAACAACCGTTCACACAACATTTGGTACAACAACCGTTCCCACAACATTCGGTACAACAACCGTTCCCACAACATTCGGTACAACAACCGTTCCCACAACATTCGGTACAACAACCGTTCACACAAACATTCGGTACAACAACCGTTCACA